ATTTTTTTTTACATCTACTTTCAGAATCTCTTTGATTTTTTCACGGGAGAGAATGTGTGTTGTACCGTGTAATATATCTTAATATGAATACTGAATATATAAAGATTCTATAAATAGCGAATAAGTGAGATATACAGATGGCATAGATACCACTTTAAAATAATTCATTGAATTTATCGCGCGTATATCTCTATATATAGTATTAAAGAAAAATTATTCTTGAAAGGAAAAAGAACAGTTAATGTATTATACTGACACAAATGAAATCAATTATTACTAACTAAAAATCTCCGTCTTTGTATTTCAATCACATAAATTGAATAATTCGTTTATATCCTTCTTTATTTAAAATTTCTTTTTGTCCATTCCTGCACTGTACATTACCTTTAGCTCTATCTTCACGAGATCCGTAGAAGATGCCATATTCATACATACAGCATCATTGAGAGGTATCGGGGGTTGCACTTTGGATAACTGCTTTCTATCTCTTCTCATTTCCTCCAAGGTTTGCCGCTCGAGAACAGGCATCTCGCTTTCGGAGTCACTCTCCCGGAAATCGAAGACTGATGTTTCGGAAGAACTCCTACATCCGCTCGCCCTAGCCGGGACTGTGGACGCGACCGTGGCGGCAACAGGCACGACTGCCGGTACATTATCCTCATCGGTTCTCGAAAACAAACGTCTTCTGGGCGGCAAAGAGACCGTTTTCTCGCGTGTTAATTTCGGTGGGCTACCTGCGGACGAACCAGACTGTGGTGTCGACGTCGAAGCCGCACTATCGATTTCTGTGTGCATAATATAAAAATTATATGCATACCTCCAAGATAATATTAATTATAGCACAATCGACTAATTGAATAAACAACATAATTATTATGCGGGACTATGATCGAGACGAGACAAATAGGTCAAATCGACATGAAAATATCATTAAAATAATATCTATAATATTTAACTACTAGCGTCTTTTACGCTAGATGACATTAAATTACCTCTCGGCGTCGACGACACATCTTGAGGAGGTATGGAGGATGCTTTCGTTGTAAATTGGCCGGTTCCGACCTAAATGAAAGGTATAAATTGTAAAATCGACACAATTAACACTATTGCGCAAATTAATTAGAGTTAAGTAGAGACAACCACGCACTTGTTTCAGTTCCGCCTTCGTCCTGATCTTCGCAGCTAAGATAGCGGCAAGACCGTCGTCCTTGTCACGATGGATTTGGTTCTCGGCGCCACGTGGTCCCGCGAGGGAGGCTTCCTTGCCGGGTAGCGTGGCAGATGCGTTCACTCTTGAGGCATACATGCTACGTGGCACTTCCTGAGTGATCGAGTCTATTGCTCGCGGAACGTGCAACTTGTAATGTGGCGGTGTGTTGCTGTTACGCTCGAGCAAACTCGCCGCCGTGAATGGTGACAGATTGTGCCTGCCGATGCTCTTGGGCTCGACTGGCGCGACGACCTGTGGGAATTAATTTCACGGAAATTATCAGAAACGTCATGTAGATGTCGAGCGTCTGGAAATCAGACAAAGATATGAATAGAAATACTAAGTGAAATCGTCGTATGTTTTCATTTCCAACTACAATTCACATTATTTGATTTTATGCGCAAAGATTGGTGAGTTATTGATAACGAAAAAAAACTTGCATACTCGATAGCAAAAATCAAACTTTCTTACCTTATTCTGGAAGCTCTGTTGATTGTGATTAACCAAAATAGGCTGCTGACTATTGAGCTGTTCATCCCTTTGTTGCTTATTTTCCAAGCTGTTCCTCAGCAAGTTGAGCACCCTCTTGTCGGCACCAGTATTGCTAGGTTGATCTATCGATTGGCCACTGGACATCCCGCTCGAGGGACATGCCATCTTCTGAATTGACTGGCGATAATTTGGATAGGTAAGTTGTGCACTGCTCAATTGTTGCGGTAATGGGTGTACACTCGCGGATTTCGAAATAACTGGATGATTATACGACGACGGCGAACTGCGTATGATTTTGGACTCCGGATAGGTCCTTTTATCACAGTATACCGATTGATATCTGGATTCTGGCGTCGAATAACTACCATTATTATCGGTTCTGTGATCGCCAGGTGTCGTCAGAGCTCCATTTGGCAGAGGAACCGACAAATTCATCTCTTGCCGTTTTTGCTGTTCGTTCTGCGCACCTGTAGTCGATAGTTTCGATTCAACAATTTGTTTGTCGGTACTCGGTACTCGCCAAGCAGCTCTGGCCTGTTTGTTAGGGTTCCCTATACCGTAAATCGCCTCTCCAGCTCTTTTGAGTGGTCGTTCGCGCTGAGGAAATTGCTGATCGAACTTTGCCCTACTGTCCGCTAAATAGTAGCTCGAGTCGGGTGGGTAATCTTGTGCGGGCAATGTGGGCGGGCCAAGTCGCGGAGATGAATCCATCATCGAGTGATACTTGGAAAACCTCGAGGACACAGAATCATTCGTTTGAAGGTACGATGAAGACGCAGACGTTGATGACGATGAGGACGACGGTGGCGGTGGTACCGTCAGACTGTCGTACGGCGACGTGGGCAGTGGACGTTTCTTGAACGTGGACATGTGAGGCAGTGGAGAGGCGTTGGTATGATGGGATGAGAGAGGCTGGGCGGATGGGACGTAAAGCTGCTGCGGATGCTGCGCAGTACTTCTGCGAAGAGAACTGTCGTGATGCGATTGACGTAGGGGCGTCGAAGTAAAATCTGGCAAAAAGTCGACTTTGGGCGCGCACACCGTTTGCGGTGTCGATGCCCGAACGCAGGTCACCTGCATGGAATTCCTCGAACTGTTACTCGAAGGCCTATCGTACGACGACGCGTACGACGACGCGTACGACGGTTGTGCCGGTGCTGATTGATGCACGACAGCCGGAGGTGGCATCGGCCTGTTCACATTGTTCCTAGATGAACTCAGATTTGAGCTACTGACATGTTTGTCGGTGCTGATAGTCTCAAGATCATCCTGCGCCGTAGAATCAGCCGATGTCTTAACTGTTTTTACGGACAAGTCCAGAGGAGATTCTCTCTTCCGAACCGCGTTACTCGGCGACGGAGAACTTGCCATAGTGGCGACCGATGTCGCTTGACTACCGGATGACGCTGGATTCTGATAAGGATGTTCTTTATAGGCATAGCCCTCGGCCGTAATTCGTGTCGTTGGCTGATGATATGTCGACGATCCCGCTGACCGATCTGACTCGTCGGAAGACTGATACGCGTGGATCGATGGAACGGAAGACCTCGCACCACCTGAACCACCATGATTACTGATAGTCGTTACTGTAGTACCGGTAGCGGAATTGTTACCATGATGACTGGGCGCTATTGTGGTGGCATACGTCGATGATGGATAGCTTTGTTGGCCAGTATATCGCGAACCGTACGTCATGTTCGTCACAGTGGTTGTTCTACCATTCACCGGTATCGCGTGGTTTATAGCCGAGACCGGAGTCATTGGATACTCAGCAAGCCTCTGAGGAGGCATCGTTATAGACGAGGGGGGCATCACGACGGACGAGACTTTGTTGGTTGCATTCGTCGAATGTATTCGTTGTCGTATTGTTGCTTGCGCCGATTTTCCCAATAGTTCTCGCCTGTTGGAATGATAAGACGAAAGAGCGGCGATAGGCGGCAGGTTATGCGTGTTACCACTCCTCTGCGTGGGTGACCGATGCGTACCGTAAGGAGGTATCGTTGTAACGTCAATCGCCCCTCTCTTCGTAGCATCCGCGCCGTTATATGTCGCGTGCTTGCTGACATTTTGCTGGTAGCTACCTAGATTATTGTTACCGGGAGTGTTAGGGTATACTGTCTGCGGTACTAGCATCTGCTGCATACTGTAAGACTGATTGTGAGACCGACTTGGTTGAGAGTAGTAGTTATTCCCCTGCGACTCCGGTTGTGGGTTCTTCTGGAAGGAATGGTACGAAGACTGGGACGGTGGCGGCGGTGCGTAAGGCAACCCCATCGCCGCGTCACGAACCGCCGCCACGTAATTCGTTTGATAGTGTTGCGAAGTAACCGGTGGCAGATTGTACGATTGTGATGTCGACCTTGACGAAGCCGACGACTGCTGCTGCTGCTGCTGCTGCTGCTGCTGCTGCTGCTGCTGCTGTTGCTGCTGCTGCTGCGGTGGCGGTGGCGGAGGCGGTGGTGGTGGATAAGTCGGCGAATGCGGCTGGAAGCTGTTGTGCGGCGAGGGTGTATGATGAGGAGACGGGGAGGCATGTGGATTGTGCAGGCTGGATACGTGGGGCGACTGCCGCTGTGGCGACGGAGTCGCGTGATGCGGCGACGGAGTAGCGTGACGTGGTGACGGTTCATGATGCGGCGACGGCGTCGTTCCTACGTGATATCCACTCGGGGGTGGTGGCATCTGTTGCTGCTGCGAATGGTTCGCCGTCATGGCGACAGAGGAGGATGACGATGGAACACCGTGCGGTGGCAGCGACATTATGCGACCTCCATATGAGGAACCGTGCGAGTGTGGCGATGCATTTATACGACTAGGATGCTGTTGCTGTTGCTGCTGCTGCTGTTGCTGCTGTAGAGACGACGATTGTTGATGTTGCTGTTGCTGCTGCTGCTGCTGCTGATGATGATGATAATGTACCGAGGTGGCAGCGGACGGCAGATGCGGTGAAGGAATGTGACCCGGAAGATTCTGCGACTGCGATTGCAAAGGAATGTGATTGGAGGAGGAGCTTCCTAGTCCAGGCTGACGCGGACTGACCGCCTGCGACGATGAAGAGCAAGCGGCGGTGGAAGAGTGCAATCCATCCGAACTATGAGACCTGTCGTTGACGCTCGAAGTAGAAGCGGTCAGACGATGGGCCTGCTGCTGATACTGGTTCGTGGGACGATAACTCTGAGAGGATGAAGAGGAGGAACCAGATCCATACACCGAAGATCCGTTGAGAGAACTCTGAGCGAGTGGCATGTTGTTGCCATAAGTACCAGGTATTCGTTGCTGTTCTGGCGGACAATGTCCTTGAGTAACGACGTTGGATGATGCTGTCGTATTATTCTGCTCTATTGGCGTCGGTCTTGTGCTCGGTTGTTGAACCATACTCGGAGGCTGCGCTACATTGGCGGACTGATAAATGGAACTCTGCGAATACGGAGCCGGTGCGCATTTCGTGATGTCTGGGTGATGGTAGCGTGGGTAGTACTGAGTCCTCTGGACAACGATCGGCTGCGATTGCCTATCGTTATTGGCGGTCTGATACGTTGAAGCGGAGTGCGATGAGGAAGAGGCGAGCATCTCTGCCGCACTGAAGGACGTCCTGCTGACATTACTAAGTTGCTGGTACACTGGTCCAGGGGAATGTGGCGGTTGGGGCGGTTGCATCTGATGCAAATGCGATGACGAGTTCAACGTTGAAAGATGAGATTGATGATGGTGATGATTGTGATCGCTGGAGGACGAGGTGGTCGACGATGATGATGACGTTAGTGGCGGTCTCTGCGAAAAATTCGACGATGATGCGGCAGCGGCGGAGGAGGAGGAGGAGGAGAATTGATAATTCGAAGGCTGCATCTCGGTTAAAGTGACAGTGCCCGAGGAGGAGCTGGGCTCCATGGCGGAGCCTTCGTCGCCTGGCCTCGTATCCGGGACTTCGACCCTGGTCGGCTGCGGCGCATATGGCTCCACGTGTGGATTCCAGAAGCTAGATCCGGCAGTCGCATTGCTACTCTCCACGGACGACGAAGGTCTAACGTCGGTAGGGTAACGATTCGACTCCTGAACATTGCTATTGCTGCTGCTGCTATTGGCGGAAGTCGAAATTGACTGAGTTGATTGTGTCGGCTGCGACGGTGCATCATGATCATGCGTTGTCGCCGACGTGGACGAGGCGGGATTCGTGGAGGATGTCGAGTGGAGATTGTGATCCACCGACGTGGCCGCGCCACTACCTGTACTCGGTACGGGCAGTCCCTGGAAGTACTGGCGAGCCCCCTCTAACACGTTCGTGAAGCTCACATCCATGTCACGCCAACTGCTAATCTGCAATGACAAAGCGCAATTATGGATTGAAAATCAGCCGTGTCATGCAATATAATCTTAAGTCTATGTAGACAAGTACGCACTAGAAGCTAAATAAGAATGTGTATAATTTTTTATTCAAAATTTATCTAATCAATTGTTTTCAGAAGCAAGTATGTTTTATCCTCATATTTAAAACGATTGTATTGTGATGATTATTCATAAGTTATTTTGTAAATTTCGTAAAAATTGCTAAACAAAATTGTGTCATTCTCAATAGAATCATTTCGCAATAGAACATTATTGCCAAAGTTGATGGATCAGAAACAAGGTTATCTTCTACGCAGGACTGTAATCATCTACAGGAATTATTCACAACGAGCCATTTCGATTAGGACTGTTTGAGCTTAAACATAACATCAATAATATCGCATTCATTCTACTCAGAAATCAACATTCAGAATTAGTCAAAGACAAAGTCATCGTTCACGTTGAATCATTGAGAAGATTCGTCAACTATGGTAAATTTAGGGTCAGGGTTATAAGAGCGCGGAGTTCCCCAAAGTCGAGTCCGAAGGGACACTTCTCTTGGGGATTACCGAAATGTTCACACGATACCGTCGACCAGGAACGGCCGGCAGGGGAGGAGAGAATGAGGTCGAAGCATTAATCTTCATTGTCTTGTATTTGCCCGTTACAAGAGGCAGACGTATTCCCCTTCCGTTCCCTTCATCCTCGATCTCGACCAGGCAACTTCGATCTCGCATTATTAATCTCGTAGCATTATGAAAGATAAAGATCTTGCGCGGCAACCTGCCGAAGGGATGGCAAAGTTGGCAAGAGAACCAATCAGACTATTCGACATCGCGCGAAACACCCGTAAATTCATCTCCAATGAATTCAGATTAATAAAAAAAAAAAAAAGAGATACTGTAATTAGATCGTACGTCGTTCGAGAGGATCAAAATTCGCTATTTCTCGTACATACGAGTTTAACTACGATGCCTCGATGATGCATATAATAATTCGCCGTAACGTATATCGCGGGCGCTCTCTATTATCGAGCACGTGAAAAAAAATCTTGATGTTTAACGCATTCTCGCTTTTTACCACAACCGATAATCGCTTTTTGTTTGGGAGAGAGGGAGACGACTTTCGAAAGAGGATGAGCTGTATCGCGTTCAGTAGTAGTTTCCGCAGGAGTTTCGGTTATCATAATAGAGCCGCAGAACTGCGCGCCCGTTATTACCATCACCATCACCGCGAGGCAAATAGCCTCTTCAGCGATCGGTGAGACGTCGAAGACCCCCGTCATCCTCCACTCGAGGAGTCAGCCGCCTGTAATATAGATCGCTATCGATCCGAGCCGGTCGATAGAGAGAGAGAGAGAGAGAGAGAGAGAGAGAGAGAGAGAGAGAGAGAGAGAG